GGAATCTCAGTTCGAGATCCGCCGCATAACGAATCATCGGCAGAAGTATGCTTACGCTCTGGAAGCGCTACCTGGGGATCACATAGCTACTGTTCGTGAGGTTGTCCTCAACCTGAATATACCTAACGTTTACGATCGTATCAAGGAGGCGATTCTTAGACATTTCCTCCCGTCGAGGGAGGAACGATTGAGGACTTACTGATTAAGCGCAAGTTTAAACAATCAGGTCTGAATCATACTTCAGTCATAAACATTCATCCATTTGTCAACACTGACAAATCAGTCAGATATTTTACGAATAAATGAGAGCTCTAACCTTTCAACAAATGATAGATATTCATGTACCATTGGGAATCAGCGGAAATGATTCTTTTGACTCAACTAAATTCATCTGGCTACAACCTCACGCAAAATGGAATATTAAGGTGAGATAACAAAGTCATTTCTAAATACTACCGTGATTCATTTATCATACAAATTCTTTAAAACTATTCATATTATGGAAGGATTAGAACTAATTATTTGGAAAAAACATGAATATAGCTACGTCATATATTACGTTAGCATTAGCTATACATCTCGAAAAAACCAGAATTATGTGTCCCAAAGAAACTGGTACAACCTCTTTTTGTACCATGGTTTTAATCTTGTGATTTTCTTCTAACTTTTTTTATATACAACTGATTTTTTCTGATTCTGTGATCATTTTGACTACATTTCATTTTAATTTTAACAATTTATCACACTTAGCCATCCATTTCCAATTATGATTTCTTTATCTATTTTCATGATGAATATTCGAGCTCGCAACAACAGAATTATTATTAGTTCCTTTGATAAAGGTAGTTTTTATACCTTTGTTTATTATACATCACTGTTACCATACTTGGCAGAATTTTATTATTATTATTATGATTTTTTTAAAAATAACTATATATTTGTAATTGTACAGATTTGAAAATGAATTCGTCGAAAAGAGAACTCTCCGCTGAACCAATTTTTTAAATTAGGATTGTGAAAGTAGGACTAATTGTTACATGAAAACGATGGAGTTTGTAAGAAATAAGAAGTGATCAAGTTTGTGGCAAAATACATCGTCTAAAATTATACGATTTGAATTTAAGATTATAAAATAAAATAGTTCAGGTTATTTTTGACCGGCGGAGTCCGATCCGTGTCGGCTGTGAGAAAATTACCCACCTCGGACAATTGATGAAAAGTTGCGCAAGACCATGGATCGATCGAATTTAGACATCAAGATTGTTTGGATGCCGGCTCAGTGGTCTAGACGTTAAGCGGTTGCGCGTGGGACCGAATGTCCTGGGTTCGAATCCCACACACGAGATCGCCGATGCGCACCGCTGAGGAGTCCCATATTAGGACGTAACGGCCGTCCAGTGCTTCCAGGTTCTTAATGGTGGTCTAGCTTAGATCGACTCGTGAGTTTAACTGTGAAAAGTCTTTTGATTTATTGACCGTGAGATTGACCAAGGTAAGAGAAGGGGTTGAATATATTTCCTTTGTACACATACTTCCAGTATTTTGATCCTAATAGCTTTATTTGATATCATAGGTTTAGTACAATATGGAATTCCCAACAAACGAGATTTCAGCAGGTCCCTCTCACAAAAACAAAGCGATCGATAACTTCATAAATACACACATGAAATAAGTAAATAAACTGTAATATTCTTTTTAAATATAAGAATCTATACAATTTCTGATTGGCAGTGTGTTCAAGAATACAAGTTTTTAACAAGATCAGCTATTACAACCTGTTCATTGCACAGCATATTTACTAGATAAGGTATTGTAGAGCTTCTATGGATTTTAGTGTATCGGTGTACTTTGAGTCGGATCGATTTTTGTAAAAGGTTACTAACCCAATAAATTATTGAGAAATATTGACCTGTACTGGTGCTATGACCAGTTTGAACTAAATGGGATGGTATCGAGCTGCTTACTTTCTTGACTACACCTTTGCTTAGCCACGCTGGGTGTTCATCAGATCTAAATAAGATAGAGAATGATCTGACCAGATCATTAAAGAAACTCGAGACCGACAATCAATTTCATCAGGTTTATAATAGCTGTCATTTTCCTAGCTAAACTAGGAAATAACTGACTTTGATAGTTTATTCAAAAATTCGCACTTACTGTCAATATATGGGTGACAGGTACATCCTGTGTAATGATATTACATCACTACTGAAGGTTCTTAGGCAATTCAATAAAGCATACCCAGCCAATAAGTTTACGTTTAAAGACAGTGAAGGTGGACTAGCCTTCTTGAACGTTCTATTAACAAAAAAGCTGAGGGGTCAATAGGGAAGTTAAACAGAAAAAATACCAGGATAGGGCAGTATACACATTTCCTTATCTTCGTACTTCCACAGTACAAAAGAAACCTGATAAAAACTCTTAGTTATCGAATACACACTATATGTTCAAGTGATATAGTTGAAGAAAGGCTAAGCACTGCGTAATACTATTGGGGAAAAGAGATACCATGAGGAGTCTATAAACAAATATATAACCCCAAAGGTTAGAATAGACAAAATACAAACAGAAAACAAGAAATCCATGTTTATTAGCTTACAGTTTAGAGGTGGTGCAACCGAAGAAATACTATATACATAGTACTTAATTTCTATTCAATTTTCAATAATGATCGATAATAATTTGTTTTAAAAATATCTGATCAACCGATCACCAGTCAATACTATGGCGTATAAAAGGCCTCAATAATTTTCAATCATTAGATTTATTATTATTGGCTTTATTCAACATTATATTTTTGGTACAATATAGAATTATCAGCACAAAGTATTTCAGCGAGCTTCCGTTTCTTATTGTTTGATCGACATTGACGATAAATATCGAGTGGTCGCCAGTTGGATATTAGCATTTCAGAAGTCGGCATCTGAATAATATTCATTCTTTTCAATGTACATTGCCAGTCATCACGATGTCTCTGATTTTTGTAACTTCTGCAGCGAAAGGTCGTAAACTTTTCACAAACACACCTGAGTAGGTTATGCCATTAATTGACATTGTTGAAATATCTAGATGGCAGGAATAGATAGCCCAGATATTCAAACAGGCCGTCCGGGTGTCCTATCCACTTAATTTAAATATAAAATTAGTTGATTGAATGTATTTTGTTCGTTCTTGTTATTGAAAAGTTATTAGTATTACAGTACAATATTAAGTTTGGTTGATACTTAAAGTGGTGTTGGTGGATGTACTTGTGTCTGTGGAGTGGGAAAGGGAGTAAAACTCTACTTTAATTCTATTTCAATGAAAAGAGGAGAAGAGAAAACTAGAAGGAGAGAGGAGTGAGAGAAATGATGATAGTGAATAAGTTGTCGTTAATTTAAATAGAACATTTTCAGTTTTTATAAAAAGTCGATTAGCGGTTATCTGAACTCAGTAGCTAAGTGGATAATGTATTGGGCGTTTGAACATAGACATGAACACTGGAGTGCAGTTACATCTGAATGACAAGCACTCAGATAGAATGAAATGCGCATCATGGATTCCACTGCTTGCCACAATTCATCTATTCTGATAAGTTTATTGTAGATGCTTTTGAATATATGTTAGCTTTCTTTGTTTCTCATTTTGTAAATATTGAATTTATATACTAGAGATAATTTTAAGCGATTAAAGCGTAATCGTTTAGTGGCCAAATGATTGAACTGTTATTCTATAAGTTGTATGGTGGTGTGCACTACTTATGTGGACAGATATAAGTAGTATGTAGAAGAAATTGGGAGCAGAATGATTACCATAAGAAAAATGAAATAAGAGAAGAGGAAGGAAAAAGAAGAGTAACCGGAATAACAACATGATCGGAAGAGTGATGAAGTATGTAAAAGACAAGTGAAGGAAGATATGCAAATGATGTATTTAATGAATGATTTTCATATTTTGCTAAGCTACTGTGTAATTTTGTATATAACAGCAAATTGTTTTTCTCCACTGCAAGTCTGAGTTCACTAAAGTATGTTTTGAACAAAATGAACTGGTCGGTCATTATCAATAATGACTAGAGACTCAAAAGTATAACTCAAGAACTATGTAGACGTAAGTTTCTACCTGGTAAATGAATTATGTTAAATTAGGAAAATAAGTTTCGGTTTGTGCCAGAGAATAATGGATGCCATTTAATCTTTATTAGGGGATAGAAATGAATTGTGTCATTATACATGAACATGTGAATAGGTCATTGAGTTCCAGTGAGGTAATATTATTTCTCCAAGTCATGAAATGGTAGTATATGTATAGAAGAATTCAACATACAATTCAGAGATAGTGAAAATTTGTAGCTCAGATGAATGATTTCAACAACACTTATCCATTCCCTAAAGCTAATCGATCTAATCATGAAGTCTTCGTTATTCTAAAGGAGAATATTATTAGAAGGAATTTCAGGTAGAAGTAGTCGATTCGAATTTCTCCATACATGAACTGATAACCTGTTTATATTAATGATGTTATCCATAAGTTACAATGAAAGCTTCAAAATTAGACCAATCAACTTCAAAGTACTAGCACCACGAAAAAAGGAATTCAGTAAGACAGTTTAAACTAAGCATATCATCATCAGACAACAAACTTAATATTGGTGGCTAGATACTACGTCTCCTATTGTTTAACAGTCACCATCTGGGAATCTCAATCACTAACACTACTACTGTGGTGTATGCTACTTATGTTTGTCGATATAAGTAGTATGTAACGCCAATCTGCATGGCAGCAGAAGAATATGAAAGTCAACTTGAAAAAAGCAGAAAGGGAAATAGAAAGGAATTGAAACTTGGGAAAACCATACAGAATGTGAAGGACATATGACGGAATTTTACAAATGAAATATTCAATGTATAATTCTCGTATCTTACCAAAAAATTCTGTAATTTTCTATTTAAATGTAATACTACTACTAATAATAATAATAACACACGATTCAAGAAAAATGGTACTAAAATATAACTTACTGATTTCATCAATAATGATCCCATCCTCTACAGAAATATGAATAAATAAATTTGTCCAACGGTCATAGACAGATAGTTTTCTAGAAGAAAAAAAACAGGTTCTGAATCTACATAAATCATGGACTATTTACATGTGATGATATCCGAAAATCAACGAACATCTAATGAATTCATCACATTTAAACGTTTAAAAAACAAGGTATTTACTAACTTGAGTACTTGTGCAACAGTATTTGGACCAAACCAACTTCCAATAGATTTACCAAGTGATACACCTGTGAGGGCTAACAGCAAAGCAAACAACAAGAAACAAATAGACATTGATATCACATATTTATTATGAAGAGCAGTTTATCTTATGTTTTCGGCAATTGTCTCTTAAGAATTAAAAAAAAAACATGGTCTAAACGATAAGTAAGCATCATTAACAAAGGTTGACTTGATTATTCCAAATAAATTAGGGACTGGGTAGAATAATAACAAAATAAGGATATATTTGTAATATCCTAACACAAGTTTAGAACTTTAATTTAATTTCGGTTATTTGTTTATTTACTCCGAAAAATCAACTTAAATTAAGTTGAGAAACGTCAAAGATCCTTATTGCTACTCATCAGTCTAAAGTGTAGTTTCTAGCATGTAAAAGCAACAAGATTTCCATTTGTGATAATACTCACTTGCTCAGACCGAAGTAGATGGAGTTCAAGTTGCAACGTATTGTATGAAAGTCGAACACCTCAACTACTAAGCAACTGTATGCTTTGTTTTACTCAGTGACAGTATTAACTTTCAGAAAAGCTATTTTTATTAAAAATGACTATAGTTTCGGATCGTAACAAAGTAGTAATTCAGTTTTAAACAGGATTTATAAGGTAAATGAATTGGTGGCTTATTAGTTGAATGGCTCGATATTCAATCAGTAGGCTGCTGGTTCAAATGTCGATTAGCTTATTTTGGCTCGAACAATTATATAGTATTACAATCCCTGACGTGAATAGAGAAACAAAGAAGCTACGACGAACAAAGGACGGTATTTTTAGGAACACTATTTCACATAAATCAAAGTTTGTGAAATACTAACGCTTAGTTTTGTTCCTAGTGATTCCATAAACCATAAGCTTCCTGCCATAACCTTTTTTGTTGCAAATCTATTGTAATTTAAACGTAATCTTCGGTATTCGATTTTACTTCCATAATGTCCAGTTTGGACATAATTGTATTTTTATAAGCGTTTGGGCGTTGTGATCATGTTAGTCATCTATTTATTGACGTAACTTTTTGCACTAATTTGAATCTGAATTGGAGATAAATTGAGTAGTGTTCAAGTTAACTCGTCTTTCCTCTCGCTTGTCAACTAATCAGGTGACAGAATAGTTGTTATCTGTGCCCAAGGCCGTTAGTCACAATACGGACTCACTCACTTATAAACTCAAGGTTGAACCAGTTAGCTCTAGTGTCAAGGCCTTAACCTAAATCGGGACAAGTTCATTTCTGTATATTGTTGGGAAGACAGATCAAGGACGTAATAACCACTCACATGTAAAGTTTGGCTATCAACAGAACACGAGATTTCTGAATTGCATTCTTTTACTTAGTAATCCATTGTTATTTAATAAAACAAAATCAACAGTTGGCAGTATGATCGTTATATACTACAAGCGAGGGTAATCACGACTCCAAATACTTTAGGAATAAGGTTTCTAAAAGAGGCAGTGACTGGCACGGATTTTAAACTCTATGAAAGCATATATTTTGTGGAGGTCGAAGAAGTACTGTTTTATTGAGTCTCAACAAGACAAAAACGGTTGTTTTCAAAACAATCAGCAAGTATACGTTGAACATTTCATTGATAAAAAACATAGTTTCTCTAGTTCACTTTTGTGGTGGTTGCTTGAATCTTCCCATTGACGTTTAAGACTGCAATTGATCAGTCACTTATTGGCATATGTGAACACTGTGCGTATTCCCTCGATATTACCTTAATCCACAAGTATTATAAGCATAGACAGATGCTGGCCAGCAGAGGAATCCAGGACACGCGTTTCGTCCTATTTGGGATTCGTCAGTTGGATGAACCTGCATCCCAGATTTGATGTTCACTTCGGGACTCGAACCCAGTACCATTTGCTTCAAACGTCATTGCATTACCCATTTAGCTACTGAGTTTAGATAGCCACTAACTTGTGCAATGGTGTGAAGTCCAATTCATTTTGTTTAAGCGCTGAATAAAGTCATTTTAATAGGATATATTTAGTTGCAAGATATATTTAGAATGACAGTTTGTAAAGTTTACCAGAAGTATACTAGCTATTCTTCACAGGGTTTGAGCCTATAATTGACAGATAGAGATTATCATGAAGTTGATTCATACCTAGAAGTCTACACTGAACTATGGAACTTTAAAGAATTTGTATTTATCTTGAAAGCGCAAATTAAAAGCACAATATATGTACTAGGCTGTAAATACTTAATTGTATACAAAGCTTAAACAGAAGTATACTTACAATCATTTTTGAGATAGCTGTTGATTAGTCTATAACAAGGATTAATTGGAAGTAACCAAAAAAGTAGTTTCTTATCACCAGAAAGGTTTGTGTAACTAGTATGCATAAAACAGACATCGATATGTTTAGACTGGTAAACGTTAATGTTTAGTCATGGAAGGAATCCTATGAAACGAGAGATTTAGGAAATAATTTGAATATATTAATCATGTGTTTAGTACCGAATTTATAAACTTTATTTTGACAATCCCATACTTTATTAGATTGTACACCATATTAAGTAGTACCTGAGGAGTGACCAATAATAATTATTTTTGTGGAATTATTAAGCAGTGAGGATCAAATGATCAGAGGTTCAAATCCACTTTAGTTACTTTAATGGTCGGTTTAGACTAGATAGCGTAGTTTTCAGAATACTAGATAAATCTAAATATGATTACCCAGTCATAATCAACGTAGAACCTGACACAATCATGCGTTAGTTCACATTACCAAACCATATCAATACGACCAGATAAAAAACAAGTGGAATAGCAGAGTTGAAGTAACGTAGTGACGACAATGAGAAAGACTAATCATTGAGAATGAGGTTCTTAATATATAATAATAATAATAATAATGAGAAGTTATGTATAAAGGAACAATAGAACTCAGAATGTTAAGAAAAATGTAGATGCATCTTCCCTTTTGTAGCTGACTCTGAGTCATATCACTTAACGTCTCTAGTCACTGATTGCAGTTATCGCGTCGACTTCAACCAAGTAGTCTCCACCTACCAACAAACAATAAATTTATGGACTGTTGCTACATATTGATTTGGGTTTCTCTGGTTCTTTTTCAAACGACTTCTACACCAACAAATAATACCCATCGACGCGCAGGGTAGTTGGAGATACGTAAACATGTTCTAACCGTCTCAGTCGATTTATCATACTTGCTTAACTCCAACACTATTCACTCAGTCATTTCATGATAAAAGACCGCTGCTTCGAAGAAATCTATGCTCAAAATTCTATCAGTAACCTGTCTTATATCTTCATGGACCATATTTTGCAGCCGAAGAGTAGATTTATAGGTGGTATACTCCCGCTTAGGTTAGAAGACTGGCATTTCGCCTACGCCATAAATTATGTAATTTTGCGAGAACCAGGAGAGCTTTATGAATCCGTGCAGAAAATTTGTCACAAGATTATTCCACCAAAGCTGGTGAAATTCCTAAGTTGATAAGTGAACCTCCTGGTAGAACACCCATTACAAAATTGGGTATAAAGGCGGAAAGTGAGGAACTCCAACGAATACTTTACGTTAATGATTTGAATGGAAATTCACCCTAAGCTATAACTCAACCGATGGTGTTTGTAAAGAGAGCCTATTTAAGGTTTATGTACTTAAGTAACGTGATTTATATTATTCAGTTGGTAAAGTTTTAGTTGTTTTACAAATACTGGCGACAAATACCTTAAACAAGCAAGTAGTACACCACGGTTTTATAAAACAAAGAAAAGTATTATATTTACTAATCGTTTGAATGGAATAAAGCGCAGACCGTCGATCTTGAAACATTTGTAGAAGACGATAATATTCCGGGCTTTCTTGTTCAGGACTCCATTTCCACGCTGAAAGATGGTGATAAAATAATTAGTGGGTTATTTTGTTAAAATAAAGGGATCGTATTATATACAAACTTTAGATGTGATAGTGAATATTGATTAGTAAAAGAAACCTTGATTTTACTCTTTATTTCTATTGCGCTCAATCAGTAAGAAAAATAATAATGTAAGTACCATTTTTTGACGCAGGTAGAGATGTATTTGACAACACAAAAACGACTGAACTCAGTAATAGTGGTATGATCAAAATCCACAAATGAGGTCACGTCGTGTTAATCAAAAAGCACTCAGCTGACAGATGTTATTGGCCGTGAAATGGTTTCATCTTCTAAGGAGTAATATATATATATATATCACCACAAAAAGCTGAAATCTTTACGATAAACATGAAGTTATCATGAGGAAAAGAATTGATAAGATACTAAATATTCACAAAAAAACGTAGATATTTATTCAACGCATCTGTGTTATGGAATATTTTCGAAAAAAATTTATTGTTTACTAAGAAATAAACATTATTACTGGAAAAGATACAAGTATGGCAAGACTATGATGACCCGACCGTTGTTGCTATCTCGACGTGGTGGTTGGGCTTGCCTATCTTGATGAAGCAACTGGGTTATAATGGCTGGAATAACCGTTTCCCAAGGTCATACGTTGCCAGACATGTCGGTTGAAGAGCGATAAGACTAAAAGCAACAAAACTAAGGTCCGAAGGTGAAGTCATACTGCTGGTTGTACAGACGTGTGACGGCAGTAAGGTGTTTCCATCAGACAAACAACATGACAGCGATGCTGCCTTCCCACAAGGAGGGGTGGGGTTAGAAAAGGTAGACTCTAAAAATGCACACCTCGCGTTACCCCACGGATACCCGTCTTCGGCGGTAAGGTCTCAAAACGTACGGAGCTAACACAAAAATTACTCATAAAAATGTCGTGTGTGATCGGCCTCAAGCAGTTATAATTTGGGCACTGCACTGCGGTCACGCTCCCAGGTCACTAAGACCACCTCTAACCCAACTTCCCTTTCAGGTACCTCCAGAAGAACCCTTCTACAGTGTGGGCACCCGGGAACTGATAACCACCCTCATACCTCTAACAGCACTCAAGACTGATTAACTGAGACTATGATAAATAATTCACAAAATGATATACCATTATGTAGACAAAATTAATTTATTTTTTAGTCTGTTAAATTAGGATTAAACATTAGTAGATTTGAATATATACAGAAAGAGATTATTATCACTTAAATTTTAATAACCAATCTGATGATAAAGTTTAACATTACATTTTTAGAATTCTTGTATATTTTAAAGAAATAAAATCAATTCACTTCTATCTTTTGTATAAGGTTATTTGTTGGAATTTAATTAGTCGGAAACCTATAATTTAAATTTTATTCCTAATGAAGTACAAACAATCTATAGGCAACTTATTAAGTATTCAAATGACAATGATGTAATAATAATAATAATAATAATTATATATATATATATATATATATATATATATATATATATATATAAACAGACATCGTCCGAGGTGAAATCTTAACATGGCTTCAGCAAGAATCATTTGTCCGCAGCGATGCATACAACCCCATCCAGCATCTGATTTAGGACCATTTCGACTGCCAATTGGGGAGAAACCCTTTCGGTAAGTCATCCATAGTCGAGACTTTAGGTGACGTGCAATTTCCTCCCTATCTGGAACAGCAAATAGAAAAGTGTAAAAAACAAACAAACGGTAATATAGTTACAGGAAAAAAGCAGTTCACGGTGGAAGATAAAACTGCGTAGTAAAAAATATATGAAGTTAACTAACTTCGTACATGTTTTTCATAATAAGGTTCCCAAGAATCAGTCCTATGAATCACATTTATCTAAACATAAATATTCGTACAAATGGAAGCCAAAATAAATAAACACCACACAAATATGTAATCGTGAAGGAAAAGAGGAAGGAGAGTATAGTCAAGTAAATAAACGAATAGAAATAAGTGAAAAAGAACACATTATAGTGAGAGATAAATTCGTTTGAAAAAATACGACTAAGAAAAATTCTTCCGGTTAAAGAAGTTCCGCTCACTTTTATGAAGAATGTAAAGGAAAACTACAACAAGACCGTCAATAGCTTCTATTCTGAGCCATTTCTGATAGCATATCAAGCCATCATCTCTCGGACCTGAATAAGGTTCAGCCAGTTAGTCAAACACATCCAGGGAGTCGTGAACTTACAGACACCAGTCTTGTACAGCTTTTTTCCATACCCCAGGAACCTGTCACAGACTAACCACTTCTTTGCTTTTCGAACTAACCTCTGTCAACAATTAATGCATGGTGCGGCAGCCACTGGAATAGTATCTGTAACACATGTCCGAGACATAGAAGTCAATGTTTCAAGGTGATGAAACCAATTGAGTTGTCATCACTTTGAGCAAACACATTGCCGAAACTCACTATTACTAACATAATGTTGCCACTGAATGTCAGAAATGTTTTAGAGACAACAGTGATTGAACACAGAGTTGCTTAATATCCTCAATTCGGAAAAGCCAGGCTTCACAAGGATATAGGGAAACAACCATCACTGACGAATTATAAACCTGATCTTTTACGCCCACACTAACATTACGTTGGCTCAGATTGGCATAAGCCGAATATTGGACATGTTTTCCGAATGTCGTCCCAGAGAATTCCACGTCGTGCATTATTCGCCAACTCTGGGACTGGTTGGTAAAAGCGGAGAGGTGGTCAGTATATGACATTGTGTCGTGGTATGAAAGAAAGCTGAAAAGAACTGGCTTGTGTTGGTCCTTCACGACTCCCTGGTTGGGGTCCGAGAGATGGTGCTACACAGTGGCTAGGGAAGTTATCAGATATGGTTCAGAATAGAAGCCAGTGGCGATCCTGCTGTAACCTTCTTTTACTTTCTTCATAAAAAGTGGTTGTGTCTCCCTTACCTGAAAGATTTCTTTCGATTGTACCTTTCCGTTCCCTCATTATTATTATTATTATTATTATTATTATCACTACACTACCTTACACCAATCTCTTCGTTATTATTCTTTTATTTTTTAACGCTCCTTACCTTTTTTCTTTTTCCTTTTCCTTAAGTTCTCATTGTTTTGTGTGGCGCATATATATTGGCACTTTCTTGTACCAATATTTACGTGTTCAAATAAATAAATAACTTTTAACTACGAAGTATTTTTACAAAACTCGTGAGGGCTTGTCCTTGCACTCACTCTTTATTATGAACCGATAGTAGTTTAGAAGTTTGTGTATGTAGTCAGTTGTCTGAGTGTTGGTGATTTATTTATTTATTTTATTTATTTGAACACATAAACATTGGTACAAGAGAGCGCCAATATATATACGCCACACAAAACAATGAGAATTCAAAGAGAAAAGAAAAGAAGGTAAGGACCGTAAAAAAAAGAGAACAATAACGAAGAGATTGGTGTAAGGTAGTGTGGTAGTAATGAGGGAACGGAAAGGTACAATCGAAAGAAATCTTTCAGGTAAGGGAGACACAACCACTTTTTATGAAGAAAGTAAAAGAAGGTTACAGCAGGATCGCCACTGGCTTCTATTCTGAACCATATCTGATAACTTCCCTAGCCACTGTGTAGCACCATCTCTCGGACCCCAGCCAGGGAGTCGTGAAGGACCAACACAAGCCAGTCCTTTGCAGCTTTCTTTCATGCCACGACACCATGTCATGCACTGACCACCTCTCCGCTTCTTCCAACCAGTCCCAGAGTCGGCAAATAATGCACGACGTGGAATTCTCTGGGACGACATTCGTAGAACATGTCCAAGCCACCGAAGTCGGTGATTCAAGATGGTGACACCAATTGCATTATCGTCTCTGTGACCGAACATACGATACCGAACCTCTGCATTACTAACATGGTGTTGCCACTGGATGTCAGCAATCCTTCGGAAACAGTGATGATCGAACACAGAGAGTTGTCTAACGTCCTCAACTCGGAGAGGCCAGGTTTCACAAGCATAGAGCAAAACTGCTCTCACCAACGCGTTGTAGATCCGACCTTTTACAGCCAGACTAACATCACGAAGGCGCCAAAGGTGGCCTAGATTGGCATGAGCCGCTCTGGCTTTCACTATACGTGCATTGATCTCATCACTCACACCCCCACCAGCACTTATGCAGCTACCTAGATACACGGAATTCTCGACTACTTCTATTTGTTCACCATCCAGGGTGAGTACAGGATTAGAATCCTGCCAGTCTTGTAGAAGTACGTTGCACTTCGAAGGTGCAGAGCACATACCATACCTACGGACACTGATTGCCAACTGATTAAGTGCGGATTGCAGGGCTTGGGCATTATCGCACAGTAAGACAATATCATCCGCATACTCAAGGCCAAGAAGTCTTTCTCCGAGCAACAGATCCACACCGCCATCACTTACATCCATCAGAGCTGTTTACAGAATATCGTCGATGACAAAGTTGAAGAGGAATGCTGAGATTGGGCAACGCTGCCTAACCCCAATGCTCGAATGGGACAATGTAGAGAGGTGGTTGTATGCCCTCACTCTGCCTGAGATGTTTGTATATAGGGCCTTTAGGATGTTAATAAACTTCTCAGACACACCCTTCTTCAATAGACAATCCCAGAGAACAGTCCTGTCCAACGAATCGAAGGCAGTCCTAATGTAAAGAAACACTACGATTATTGGCCTTTGATAAGTATGGGAGTGTTCTAACATTTGGAGGAGGGTGAAGATATGATCAATACATCCTCGACCAGAACGAAACCAAGCCTGCTCCTCGCGAGTCGACCTTTCTTGAGTTTTGACCAACCTACGAAGTATGACGGAAGCCAAAAGCTTGGACGCAATCGGACGTAGACTTGTCCCTCGATAGTTGTTATAGGAACGACGTGAACCCTTTTTAAAGATAAGGACAACTATCGACTCATTCCATGACGTTGGTACACTCTCTAGCTCCCAGGACGTTGTGAACAACGTCGTCAGTTCCTTAGTCATAAAGTCACAACCATCTTTAAAAAGAGCCGGAGGTAAGTCATCTGGGTCAGGTGATTTGGAGCGCCCCGACTACCAGTTTTCTCGGTCCTTACGCAAGCTTTGCTCAATTTCATTACGTAACATCCTTCGTTTGTGGTCAAAATCACGGTCACCCGGAGTAGACCGACGGGCTTCAATGAGTTGTAAGGAACCAGAAGAAACCCAGTGCTTATAAGCCGGACGTTTCGCGAACCCACAACTGACTGTACCCGCCATTTTCATGGCGTCATGAAGTTGCAACTAATGTTCATCTATACTTTTCGGTGGAATGGTAGCTAGCCTAGAAGCGAGCTCGGTTCGATACTTACTTGCAACAGAATTTGCAACCAACTTGCTGACATCAATCCGTTGGTGGCGGTCATTTCGTTGTCCACTGAAAAGTAAGGTAAGATTGGCACAGACCAAAGCATGGTCAGAGTCCAGATAGGTACTCCAAAGGGAGCGGCAGTCTTGTACACAACCACGCCAGCAGTAGCTGATTGCGATGTGATCAATCTGAGTCCAGGCTTGAGATGAAGAGGGAGGACGCCAGGTGGCACATCGGCGATGACTGTGCCGAAAGTTAGTGCTAGACAGAAACAGGTTGTAGTCTGTGCACAGTTGCAGTAGACGGTCCCTGTTATCTGTCCTACGACCAACAAGTCCCCATCGGTCACCTAAACGACTCTCTTCTGTGCCTAGACGCCCAACCTGAGCATTCAAGTCTCCAGCTAGTACTACAATATCTGTCGAACGCACTTTCT